TTTTTAAAAATTATTTATTTTTTTTACATCTTTATTGGAGTATAAATGCTTTACAATGGTGTGTTAGTTTCTGCTTTATAACAAAGTGAATCAGTTATACATATGTTCCCATATCTCTTCCCCCTTCGTCTCCCTCCCTCCCACCCTCCCTATCTATGTGCTTATTTCTCCTTCAGTTTTCTGGTTGTGGGGGGGAATAGGGTCAGCATCTCTCCATTTCACTTGAAGGATACTGAGCTCAGAGACGAAGCTTTGCCCAGTGTCACAGGGCTAGTCAGAGGCAGGGCTTCTGTTTCCACACAGGGCCCTTTCTACCTGAGCTGGCTTCTGAGCAATGAGAAGGGAGGGACCGGCCTTCTTGAGAATGGGGTGGGGCTGAGTTCAGAGTCAGTCAGAACTCAGCTCATCAGCTGACAAGCCCTTGGACTTCAAGATTCCTGCTACTTGCCTGGGCACCTCTTGTCCCCACATGGCTCTGGGGCCCCAGTTCCTCACCTTGTTCAAACTGACAGCTCGCTGCTTTCTCACTTCTCTTCCCGGGGAGGGGCGCACCCTACCCATCCTGACATTGCCTTTCCCCAGGTAAGACGCAGTTCCCTGGACCTATCCTTATGCTCTCACCGGCAACCTGAGAGTCCTTCTAGCCTTCAGATGCCTGACTCCCCAGCATACCCTTGAGTGCTGAGAAAAGGATGGTGGCATGGAGAAAAGATTGAGGTCATCATCCCTGCCCCCCCAAAAAATGGCCATAGTGGGTCTCTGATCCCTCCATGCTCCCCAGCGGGGCTGAGCATCACTCTTCTCCAGATGTTCGTGGGAGCAGGGCACAGACGAGGTTCGGAGGAAGGGTATCTCCTTCTCCCTCTAAGATGGTAAGAATTAACCATCCCGGCCTCGTGTGTCTCTGTCACGTGCATGCACACATGACTTTATCTAGATCCTCCCTGTCAGAGATTATTAAGCACCGCTTTGGGACTACTTGTCTAGGACGGCCTATGTTCAGACCTTCTATGTCAGATGGCTCTGGGACAAGGACTGCTTTCCCCCTTAGGACTAGAACAGCACATGGAGAGCAAGACCCTCTGATCATCCAGCCCACCACTTTCGTTTGACAGATGGAAAAACTGAGGCCCAGAGGAAGGATGGGACTTGCCCAAGGTTATACTGATCCGTGGCAATTCAAGGACTAGAGTCCAGGCCTAATGCTCGGGCATAACCCTTGTTACTGCAGCTTCTTCTGACTGTACTGTCACTGTGTAACCTCAGGGGGTGACCTTGTTAGGAGGTGAGTGTGCCCTGAGGAAGAGCTGGCCAACTTCCTTTTCTCTTGTCTCACCTTTGACCTTAGGCAAATCAATTTGCTTAAATTGAGCCTCTTGAGGGGATGATGCCTGCCCTAAACTGTCTAACCTGCTGCAAGCAGGGCAGCGATGAGCAATCACTCAGATGGGGTGAAGCACTTGAGCTCCAGTCGTTGCCTAATAACCCTGATTTAGTCAGTCCTTCATTTCACAAACACTGATTGATTGGGATTTAAAACAACAAAAAACTTGAAGGTGACAGGGGCCCTGCCCTCAGGGAGCTTAGAAACCGTCCGTGTAAATAGGACCTAGCTATGCAGTGTGTGTGATGTACACAGGGGTGGGAGCGCCAGGGAGAGTCTTCTTGGCAGAGGTAGTATGGCAGAGATGAAAAGGGAGGCCTCCGGCTGGAGGAGACAGCATGAGCACAGCTTTCTTGTGGGTGCTGAGTAGACGAGGGCCTGGCTGGAGCAGATCTTCAGGAGGGATTGGGGATGGGTCGTGGGAGATGGGCCTGCAGAGGTGAGTTGGAGCTAGACTGTGAGGGGCCTTCAGTGCCAGGTTAAGGAGCCCAGATTAATTTATCAGGCAGTGGAGAGTCAATGTGAAGGTGTTGGAGCCAGGAGTTCATTGTATAGGACAGATTTGGGTGGGAGTTGGGGGCTTCGAGGCAGGGAGGCCAGCTGGGGGAGTCCTGTAATTCAGTGGGCAACATCTAGGACTAGGGTTCCCAAATTGGAGCATGAGATTCCCCTGGGTGCTTGCTAAGTACAAATTCCGAGCCTAACCCTGGAGATTGGTTGGGAGGTCTTGCAATCTGCAGGCTCCCCAGATGATTCTGAGGCAGGTGATCAAGGAACCATGCTCTGAGGAACGTTGCCCTAGGGAAACTTCGTGGAGGGATGGAGAATAGGGGGATGAGTCAGATCTTGTGGAAACAGATTTGATAGTCCTGGTGTTGGGTGGGATGTGGGGGAACCCAGCGTGGCTGGGGAAGGTGGGGTTGATAACTGCTTAAGGGGCATCAAGAGGAGCTTTGGATGGGTTGATTGGTATGAGGGCAAAGGTGATGAGTCAGTAAGTTTGAACACTTAGAAAGTCCTTTCCCAGTGGGGAGAAGATACTTCCTCCCCCTCCCCCGCCCGGATCCTGAGTGCCGAGTGGACACTTGCCAGGCAGCAGTCCCTTCAGGGGAACCCCCAGGCTTCCCTGAGGAGGACCCCCAGCCCCTTCACCTCCTCCTACTCCTCTGAGGGACAGAGCTGTTCTGCCTGGGATGTGGAAGTTTCTGTGATGCAGTGGTGGGTACTACTCTGCCATCCCCACAGCCTTGAGAGAGTCGAGTGATGTCAGGGCTGAAGGTAGCAAAGCTGGTGACGTTTCAAGCGCTCAGGGGAGGGAAGCAGGGCTGCACAGGGAGGTAGAAGGCCTGGACTGTTCCCACAGTAAGCAGCTGTGTGGCCTTGGGGTGGGTAGGGTAGGGGTCAGACACAGGTCAGGGCCTGGGCAGCAGGCATCTTGGATGTCAAAGACATGTTTTTCAGGCTAAGACCTGGGCAAACCAAAGGAAGCCTCCTAATTCTTATCTTTGGATGGTCTCAGTCCAAGGGGGGAAAAAAAGAATCTTAAAGGAAAGGGTAGCTTCTTAAGAAAGATTAAAATGTATCTTATGCAGACCTGTCAACACAGATAAATTCCAGTGAGGGTGAGGGGAGTCCTCCCCCATCCCACCCCTAATAGACCCCTAGACTCAGAGTGGCCTGTGCAGAGCCCCTGAGGGGCACTGAGGCCCCCTCAGTTCAGAGGCTCAGCTTGATTTTGGATCCTTGGATAGGCTGAGGACTGCTTTCCTTAGGTGAGGGAGTAGAGTATCCAGCTGTGTAAGACACATCTGGAGGCGGGAGGAAGTCTCTGCCCTCCCCTGAGCCTCAGATGCCCCATGGGGTTAGACGGGAGACCTGAGATCCTCTTTAGCGTTGACCTTCTCAGAGCCTGGAGGGAGCCTGCGGCTCATCCATGTCCAGGGGAGCATGGGGATGCCTTAGTCGCTGACTACTCTTCCCTGTATTCTGGCTTCTGGGCTGCGTGAGGGGCAATGGGGCGTCCTGGGGGAGGGTCAGAGAGGACGTGTCTCGTTCACATCCTCCCGCGTGTACCCTCACTGCCCTGGACAAGAAAGCAAACAGGAGTCATGTGAATGGAGATAAAACCCCGGAACCACCAGTGGGTGGAGGGGAGGAGGCTAGGGTTTTAAGGGCTCTGCTAACTATTTGGTTTTTCAGTATACACAGAACTGTGTGCTTCCTGGGAGCAAAGTTCAGAGCATCGGAGCACAGTGCACCCTCACCAACTTCCCCGTGACCTCTGAGAACATCATTGACTGACCTGTTCATTCATTCCTCAACACGTACTTTTAGCAGTATTGCCTGCCGTGGGCCACAGGATGGGGTGGGCTGAGGGACAGGTGGCCTTCATGCATCTTTGTTCCTACACAAGCAGGGGGCCAGGGCAGGGAAACACACCCATAGTTCAAGGGGGAAGAGGTGAGTTATTGAGCTGCAACAGAGCAAGTGCTTTTCAATTGAAAGGCCCTAGTATCCCCGTGGCCTTGTAGGAGTGGGCCCAAGAAGCAGTTGTTTTTGCTTTCTTCTGTAGACCTGAGTGGTCTCGCTGTGCGATGGGAAGCTAGTCTAGATGATCTCTAGTCCTTTCCAACCATGACGCCAGCCACCAGAGCAGGAGGGAGACTCACAGGAATGTCCCTCTGTCTCCTCAAGAGGGTGCCATTGCTGCCGCCACTCCCAGGGCACTGTCACTCTTCCACTGGAGGAGCTCTGGGGTCTTATTTTAGAGAGCTTCACCTCCCCCTAGGAATTGTTCCGAGCATCCCAAGAGCAGGTCTTTTGCATCCCTCCCCTGCTGCCCTTGTTCTTTCTGGAATAATTGAGTTTGGACATTCACTCTCCCTCCCCTGACACCTCCTTGTGCCTCCATCCTTACTTCCCTCTCCCTTTCACGAAGTATCAGGACACTGTTCGGTCAGGGACTTTTACGCTTTGCAAAATGCTTTTATGCCCATGTTTTAATCAGCTTCTTAGAATAACCACAGGAAGTCAGAAGGACAGGAAAGGTGAGTGCCATTTTACAAGTGACAAAAGTGAGGGTCTGAAAGGTCAGCCATTTGTCCAAGGTCCCTCTGCGATAAGAGGTAGTGATGGGGCCAGAGCCCAGGGCTTTTGAGGCCAAGCATGTGCCTGTCCGCTATCAGCCCTCCCTCCACCGGCCACCTTTCTTGCCACTGTCCAGCCTTTCTGCAGATGTCCCTAAGGTCGAGGTGCTGGAACGGGAGCTGGCCTGGCTGAAGGAGCACCTGCCTCAGTTGGACTCCCCTGTGGTGTTTTGCCACAATGACCTGCTCTGCAAGAACATCATCTACGACAGCACCAAAGGTATAGCTTCCCTGGCCCTGGCCAGGCAGCAGCAGGGCTCAGGCTGCTTGATCAGCTGGCGTTGGGGTTCTACTCCTCAGCCGGGTACTTGGACAAACAAAGTGAGACCTTCTGGTGTAGGTCTCAAGTTAATCTGTAGGAGAGAAATGAAAAAGAAACAAATTCCTACTTAGAAAAATTTTTGCCAAGAAAGAACTCAAAATCATGGTTTGTGGAGCCATTCCCCTGACAACGAGGACATCTTGGCTTCCCTGAGCCTTCCCTGTGTTCCTGATGATAGCTTCACTGCCATGGAGTACTTGGCTTTATTTTCTGGTCCTCAGCCATGCTGAGGACAAATGTCTTTAGTTGGGGAGAGACTGAGGACCCAGCTGTGTGAGAGGGACAGCTGGAGCTGGGGAAAGGGCAGACAGATGGAAAGATGGAAGGAAGCAACTTAGAAGAAAGTTGCCACTGAGAAGTTGGGTGAGGCTGGGTTGCTGCAGAGGCCAGTGAGAGTCAGTGGGTGCATTCCTGAGGTCTGTGAAAGCTTGACCAAGCCCTGTATCCAGATCTGGGGCCAACCCTCACTGCCTTTCCTCTACCTCACAGGTCATGTACGGTTCATTGACTATGAATATGCCGGCTATAACTACCAAGCTTTTGACATTGGCAACCATTTCAATGAGTTTGCAGGTGAGAAGGGCATTACTCTTTGGCCTATATCCTCCTTGTGTTGGAGGGCCAGGTCCAGGGGAAGGGTTGGAGGGGGTTCTGTGCATGGGGAATGGAGGCTGGACACCCCTGTCCTCAAGATATCACAGCTTGAGGGCGGGGCCAGGCACAGCCTGCCTTGAGAAAGCACCAGGTCTTATGGGCACGGGGGTGGGGCGGGGGGGCCGGGGCAGACCCACATACACAGAGCAAGCCCCTGCTAGCCCATATGGCACTTTGGTACAAATTAGGAAAATGTGCCCTCTGTAGGATCCCTGAGGACATTCGGCTTGGCATGTGAATTCTAAAGAGACCCCTTCCTTCCTCTGGGCAGACACAGCCCACGCCAGCTGGCCCAGCTCAGCTTGATGTCAGCCTCCACTCACCCCCTGTCCAAGCTCTTTATGCCCAGTCAACCCGTGCAGTCGTACATAGGGGTCCTGCAGGCAGATAAGGGGCAGAACAAGCTGCAAGTAGCTATTTGCCTGGTGACCTGAGGAGATTAATCATGGCGGAACTAGTTAAAAGTGTGTACTTTGCAACTTGACGCCCCTGCTTCACATCCTGGCTTTGTTGCTTACTAGCTGCATGATGCTTGGGGCAGGTTACTTACCTTCTCTGTGCCTCTGTAAAATGGCGATGATAATAGTGCCTACTTCATAGTATTGATATGCGATACACACACCAGTGTGGCACATACTAAGCTCCACGTTGGTATTTGCTGCTGATGTCAGGCAGGGGAGCTTTTCTGCCTCCGAGGGAGGCTGGAGTGGCCATGGAAGAGGTTGGATCTGGGGTGTGTCCTGGTGTAGGCCGTCCTTCCATAAAGGTAGGTGTGTACAATAGAATCATTTGTGTAAAGGAAACAGGGCAGGTTTTTCCAGCTCGAGGGCTTAATTGTTAAACAGTTCGATGGGGCTAAAGAGGCAACTGGTGGATGGAGGTGGACACTGGGGCTGGAGGGACATCCCCAGGCTAGCAGTGCAGGGTGCTCAGCGTGATGTGGCCAGTCCCTATGGCTGAGGATAGGTGAGGCACGCCCAGGCCAACTGTAGAGCCAGCACCTGGGCCAGCCTGAGGCACTCCCCAGGCCAATACAGGCCAATCCTGCCCCTTCTGGAACCCCAGGTGACCAGGGCTGTCAAGCACTGCTTGTACCTGAAGGTATGACTCCCCAGGGTGGCCACCAGCTGCATCTAGGCACCCAAGGGACAGATGGGGCCTCAGCTGGCCAGAGCAGCTGAGCTGTGGGGTGTGGCCTGGAGCAGAGGCTGGCACCCGCACGGCACTGGGCCTGTGATTGATTGCTCAGCTGACAGAGCCACTGGCCTTTCCAAAAGGGATAATTTTTAAGCATTTTGAGTCCTTCTCACCCAGCGCTTGGAGCAAAGTCCAGCTGGAATTTCTCCAAGGGGGCAGACTGCATCCTGCTTCCAAGTTGAGACTGAAGGAGGAGGAACCTAGCATGGGGGAAGGAGGACGGAAGTAGAGGAGAGAGGCATCTCCTGTGTTCTCAGGAGCAGGGAGACCCAGTGCTGGGAGCTAAGAACCAGAGTCTGGTAACTGGCTGTGTGACCTTGAACAGCTTTCTTCTACCTGGGCCTTAGTGTCTACATCTGTGCCAGGACCACCTTCTCCAGCCATACTCTTGGGGGCCCAGAAGACTGAGTGTGTTTCTCCAGGGATGTAAGGGAAGCTTGGGAAAGATAGGAAGAAAAGAAGAGGGAGGAAGAGACCAGACAAGGTGGCCCAGTCCTGGTCCTGTCTTTAATGAACTGTTTCTTTCTGTACCAGCTCTGAATCTAGGCTCTCTGCCATCATGCCCAAGATGTGGCTGGTGCGTACTGGGCTGGCAGTCTGAGGACTCAAGGAAGGGTGGGACTAGAAGGAGTCCAGGCCATTTAGCTTAGGGGTTCCAAGCCTGGCTGTGTTTCCGAATCATCTGGAGAGTTGGACATGGGTGGGTGCCTGGCAATCTGTATTTTCGCCAAGCACTCCAGGCGATGTTTTTAGGTTAACCAGCTCAACACTGGTTCAGGAAGCAGTATTTGAGGTGCATTACGTCCAGCCCTTGCTTTGCAAATGAGATTTTGGCCAGTGAAAGGAAAGGGCTTGCCCGAAGTTAACTGGAGGTTAGCGTCAGCTCTAAGACAACTAGGCTCCTGATTCGGGGCTCTGACCCAGCGCCTCCAGTGGGCCATGGTTTTGTGTAGGGCTCAGGGATACAGTGGTGCTGTCTTAGGGGGTCCCCATCACTTCCAGGACTGTGCCTTGCCCCTCAACGAGTCTGCCTCTCTCTGTGTTTTCCTCCAGCTCAGCCCACTGAAAGCAGTGCCCCCAGCTGGGATGGGGGCCGACCCTCCACACATTAGAGTTTGGTGGTCAAAGAAGCTGCATTCTTTGCACAGCCCCACAGGACACAGGAGGTGGAGGTTCTGAGGGGATCAGGGAACACCTACTGAGCTGGAGGAGACTCCCAGGTGGGCCTGTCTCCCAGCAACTTCTGTGCGGCTGCCTCCCCATCAGGTGTGAATGAGGTCGATTACTGCCGGTACCCAGCGCGGGAGACCCAGCTGCAGTGGCTGCGCTACTACCTGCAGGCACAGAAGGGGATGGCTGTGACCCCCAGGGAGGTGGAGAGGCTCTATGTGCAAGTCAACAAGTTTGCCCTGGTGAGTGCTTGTGACTGGAAGGGGTGGGGGAAGGAGAGCTGGGAGGAGGGACTCAGGGCCCACCCCCAGCTCCTACCTTCTCACAGCCTTGTGGTGGAGGAGGAAGCAGAGCCCAGGGTCAGGGGTGAGGTCCTGGGGGAGTCCCGTCATATGCTCCTGAACCCCAACCTAGAGGGGGACTCTGGGAAGAGCCATCTTGGGCATCCTCTTAATACTGACACCCTATTGCCTGCTTTCCTCCCATTCCATCAAGTCCAGGTTCTCTCCTGCCTAGAGAACTACTTCCAGGAAAGAGCCCAGCTGCCTATTTTAGCAGTTCTCTCATTTGGACAAGTTCTTTCTAGTGTCTAGCCTTAGCCTTTTATGCCACAGTTAAACACATCCCTTAAGTTTTGTGTTGTTTTTTTTGTTTTTCGTCTTGGAGAAGATAGAGAATGTCAGTTCTAATCCTCCTTGTTAACTGTCTCCACTGACTCACTCAGAACTCTATGTAAGCCTTTCCCATCAGGCTCTTTCTTCTCAAATTACTGTGCTGTCAGTTCTTGATTTTGAGTGCTAATTATCCAGGGTACATGGTTCATGCCAGGTCTCCACTGGAATGCACCAAGGGGATTGCTAACTAGTCTTACTAATGTCAGCCATGCATAAGCGAGAAGACAAGTCAGCTGCCCTGAACTTCACAATATATCAGAGAACTTAAATAAAATCTTTAATTACCTGTAATTTTAAATTCCCTATTCTATTTTCCTCATTGGTATAAAACTGATTCTTATCAGGTTCTTCCTTTTTTAAAAAAAATGTATTGAAGTATATGATTTACAATGTTATGTTAATTTCTGCTGTACAACCAAGTGATTCTTTTTCAGGTTCTTCCTCTTAACTGTTCCACCTATGCCTTCATCTTGCTAAATTTTTAGTAACCATTCCCACTTGCTAATTGATCTCTGCCCCTTTTAAGTCGTGAAAAGGGAATAAAATGGGGGGAAGTGCTATAGAGCCAACCCTAGAGCGAGCAGGACTTGGGGTGGGGCAGGAGAGCCACAGGAGTGGGGGCCCTGGCCTGGGGTCGCTGGAGCAGCAGGAACCACGGCGCTCTAGCTTCTTGAGCCTAGGGTGGTCTGGGCCCCGGGGGGGTTCTGGCTCTGGGGAGGCAGTTGAACCCTTGGTCAGCAGCCCAGCTCATGTCTACACTCACTGTCTAACCTCACCCACCTTGTGATAGAAGAGAGGGTAAGGGGTGAAAGAAGTCACTTTAGAGGTCTTCCAGCGACTGGACCTCTGATGCCCATGTGGCCAGGGCACTGCAGATGGGGTGTCACCCCCTCCACTGGCAACCAAGCCTGAGCTCTGCCTTAGGGATTTCTCTTGTCCTGGATACCTTGGGCTTGAAGATTCTCCTGGGTAGCGGAGCGGCCAGGGCTGGAGTTCAGGTCTGGCTTAGGCTGGGGAAAAAGCTGAAAGTCTGCTTAAGCCTGAGGGCAGTAGAACCTACTCTGCTTGGCTTTTTCTAGGAGTGGAGTCCCCAGATACCATCCAGTGACTTGACCTCTGGAATATCCCGCACCTGTGCTGGGGAGACCCCACTGTGTCTCTGCCAGTGTCTTAGTTCTGTGTCTTCCACAGTGCCTGTGTCCCTCCAGCTATGGGGGTCCATGACAGGTTTGGGGGGCTCACTACACTGATCTTCTCTGATGTGTTTTCAGGCGTCTCACTTCTTCTGGGCACTCTGGGCCCTCATCCAGAGCCAGTTCTCCACCATCGACTTTAATTTCCTCAGGTGAGTGCAGGGAGCAAGTTGAAAGTCAGTTTTCAGTTTAGCCCTCATTACTTAAAAGAATTATTTTTATATGGAAATGGGGCTGCGTGGAGGAAAGGAAGAGCCTTGAACCCAGTACGTGGGGGTAAAGGACACCCCAAAGAGAATGTCCATCCCCATTCCAGCCAGCCCATGCGAGGCGGGTCACTGCTCCAGGGCTGCCTGGGGAAGCACGTGTGCCCAGAATCGCTCTCTGGAAGTGGTCAGAAGCCCTTGCACTCTGCCTCCTGATTCCCTATTATAGCCTGCTATCTGCTTCACTGCCCGGCTCTTCTGCCAGGGCCCTTCCCCACAGAGCCCGGTGCTGAAGGGAATTGCTGGAAATTAGTCTGAAAGATCATGAGTCCAAACCTCATTTTATAGCAGAGGGGCCAGAGTTCCAGAGGGGTGGATGACTGGCTGAGGTCCCTTGGTGGTTTAGCTGACTATGCTGCCTCCCTGCATGGGGTATCAGACCCAACTGCTCCTTTAGTGGCCCCTAGTGATATACTAGGGGCTGTACCGAGACTGTACTTGAATATTGACTACTTAGGTGGCCCTGTCGTGCGAGATACACATGTCCCTAAAACCAGGAATCATTTTGTCTTCCATTCTCTTTGTCTTTGTCCTGCCCACCCACCCTCAGCTGGAAAGGAATCACTATGCTGGCTTTAAAGTGTTCACAAAAATTAGAGAAATGCAAGTCAAACCCACAATCGCATCTGCCTCACCCCCATTAGGATGGCTACTTTTGAATAAACAGAAAATAACAAGTGTTGGTGAGGATGTGGAGAAATGGGAACCCTTGCGCACCGCTGTTGGGAACGGGAAATGGTGTAACTTCTGTGGGAAACGATACGGTGCTTCCTCAAAGAATTAACATAGAATTACTGTACGATCCAGCAATCTCACTGCTGGGTATATACCCCAAAGAATTGAAAGCAGGGTCTCAAGCAGATATTTGCACAACCATATTCATAGTAGCATTATTCACAGTAGCCAAGAGGTGGAAGCAACCCAAGTGTTCGTTGATGGGTGAATGGATAAACAAAATGTGGTCTATACACACAAGGGAATGTTATTCCTTTGAAAAGGAAGGAAATTATGTCACATGCTACAACACGGATGAACCTTAAGGACATTGTAGTAAGTGAAATAAGCCAGTCACGAAAAGACAAATACTATATGATCCCACTTAGATAAGGTAACTAAAGTAGTCAAATCCATAGAAACAGAAAGTAGAATAATGGGTGCTGGGGGCTGGGCAGTTGCTGTGTGGGGGAGATGAGTCCAGTTTTACAGAATGAAAAAGTGCTGGAGGTCTGTTGCTCAACAAGGTGAATGTACTGACCACACTGAGCTGTAAAGACTCAACAAACAAACCAATATGTTTGGGGAGGGGTTGCTCCAGTCTAATCTAAGAAGAAAAATAAAATTATAGTTGAAGTGAAAACAAAACAAAACAAAAAACCCCAGCCTGGGCTAGGGTCCATTTGCCCAGACCTAGATGGGCTGAGATGGTGAGAAACTTTCTTCATGGTGTGAGTGCCCCCAGCAGGGCTCACCTGGCTACCCTTCTCACCCCCAGTTCCCTTTCCTGTCTTCTGGCAGGTATGCAGTGATCCGATTCAACCAGTATTTCAAGGTGAAGCCTCAAGTGTCGGCCTTGGAGATGCCAAAGTGACCAGCGTTCCCATCCCTCCCCTCCCATCTGCCTGGCCAGACCTGTTCTCCAGGGCTCCATTCTGCTCTGGGGTCTTCACCTTTGGACAAGGTGGGCGAGGGGACAGGTGGGTGTCCCAGGAGAAGGCTCTGCCCCTGTCGCCAGCCCCCAGTGATGCTTCTGGTGACCATTCTTGTTTGGAGGGGCTGATAGGCCCCAGCTCTGGGGGTCCTCTTCACCTTGCCAGACTGGGTGGTGGGGAGTGCCTGCAGCCTGCCAGGGCTCAGACCACAACCACCCTGGAAAGGCTGGCGTTCCCAGCCCCAGGCCATCCTGGCATCTGGGCCGCCTTAGATGTGTCTATGACCTTCCTGGCTTGGGGAAGCGGGAAGGTGGGAGGGCTCCTTTCTACCTCCAGGGCCCTGAGCCTCCAGCCTGTTTACCCCTGCATGCCCCATGTGGGAGGTGCTGAGCCCAAACCAGCATCCTGCCAACTCTGACAGATGGATGTACATATCTTGGCGGGGTGGGGTCTAGAATTGGGTTTGATGGCTCCCCCAGCAGCCACCTCATCTGAGATTACTCCCTTTCTCCAAACCATATCCAATCAAATAACCCCGTCCCAAACCTCAGCCTGGGGGCGTGAGCTCTCCTCCAGGGCCCTTTCTGCTCCAGGCTCTGTTCTGTACCTCTGCCGCCTGCTGGGAGGGAAGGCGAGGGAATGGGCCACCAAAGCCTGGCTCTGCTTCTTGCTGTGGCTTGGCCAGAGGGGACAGAGCCAGGAGTGGGGTGGCTGGACAATAGCCAGCAGGCTCCTGCCTTGTTCCCTCCCTTGCCCTCCAGGCCCTCACTTCCAAGGAACAGTCTCTCCATGTCCACCTTCTGTCCTGAAGTTGACCCACGGTCTCCACACTGGGGAATGACTAGTGGGAGTCTTAAGGGCAGGGGCCAGGGACCACCGGGGCTTGCCCAGCCTGCAGGAGCCTGGGTGGGGTCGGTCGTGAAGGTGCTGAAGGAGCTGTTGCCCCCGACTCTCAATGGCCTCCACCTCCTTTCTGCCCTCACAGCCTCTCAGGCCTTTCTGGCTCTGGCCTATAAATTTTTTCATTTGTAAATTATCATGGTTTTCTGCATTAAAACGGCCATTTATGGACCACTCTGGGTCTGAGTGCCACTGGTAGGATTCGACTCAGGTGGTGTGACTAGTTCTGCGGTGGCGGGTGGCAGGGCACTCCAGTCCCTCCTCTCCGGGGTCCCTTTGGGCTGCACACTTTGCACCACGCCCTCCATTTACCTGGCTCACAAGGCCTGGGGTCCTGATTTGGGGTAGACCTGGGCAGAGCTGGTGGTCTCACAGCTCCTTTGCTTTTGACCATCTTGCTAGAATAAGTTGACCCTGAGAGGGCACAGCTTCGAGGGAACTAGACCGTGGATTCCAAGAACTTGGCCTATCCAGGTGATGGGCCAGTAAGACTCCAAATGGACGTGCTCAGGACTTCTTCCTTGGTCCTCACTGGCCCCAAGCGGTTAAGGGAGTTGAGCGGGAGGTTGCTGTGCCTGAGAGCAGGCAAGGGTGATTTCCGGACCCAATACGTCACCTTCTCAGAAAGCCAGAGGGAGGGAGAACAGAAGCTTAAAGGTGAGTGAGTGGGGCACCCTCCCAGCTTCCCAGGCTGCACTCCCAGGGCCCCCAGAAGGCGCCTGGTACCCTTAGTGGTAGCAACGGCAGCAGCAGCAGCCTTCCAGGTGGACTCTGCCTGTTTGGCTTTTGCCTGCCAAAGTACCAGGGTGCCATGGCAACCACTGGAGCTGAGCAGGCACTGGCAGTTGGGGCCTTGTTCAAGGTCATGGTGATCCAGGGTGGCCAGGCCCCTGACAGGCAGCAGTATCACATCTAGGAAGGGTGCTAGTGGAAGACACGGGTGAAAGATCTGCCCCGGCCTAGGGAGGGTGCCAGGGCTGGGCAGGTAGGGCCTCTGAAGGTCATCTGTGGGGTCAGGTGGTCATGGGCACCACCTTCCTGAGGACTGTATGGCAGTGCCCACGCTCCTTGTTCCTCTCAGATCCACCTCTGGAGCTGAGGGCAGAAAACCACTGTGAAGGCAACTTCGTTTCCAGCCTCCTGGGGCCTTGCTGTCACAGCACTGAGATGGTGGTACAGCGGTGAGCAGGGAATGGTGGGGACAGGGCCCCCCAGGTATCATCTTGTGCCCCTATGGCGCGGCCACCACCAGCACCAAAGGAATTAACCTGCAGGCACCATCCCACTACGGCCTTTGAGAAAGTATCCTCATTCCTCCAATTCTCCAGGGGAGTGGGCAGGTGGGGGCAGGGGAGTTTAGGCGCACCCCTCCCGCACAAAGCCTGGAGGCCCACCGTCTCGCCTTTCACTGCCACCCCACACTAACCAGCCCCCCTGCCCACCGGCCTCAGCATCAGGCCTTGGAGACTCGAGGGTGGCCTTAGCTCCACTCCCTCAGGCCATTTCTTGACACTTAGCAGGCTCTCCGGGCAAAGCACTCCTGGACTCTTCATCTCTGCTGGGCTCTCACCCCTAACCTCCGGAGAGGCACAGAGAGGGCAGAGAACAAGCTCATGCCCCACCCTTCCCGGTAATGGTAATGTCCAGGACGCTCTGTTCCTGGCCTTTTAACCCATCTGACCCCGTCCCGCTCTCTCCAGGGGCCAGGGGGGTGGGGCTCCAGGGCACCAACCACAGGTTCCCAGGCAGAACTTTTCCCACCCTAGGAGGATGCAGAGCACGTGACTCTCAGCGGCTGGAATGAGGACAGGACAAGGGTTGCTGGAGGGAGTAGGAGGTGGGCAGTAGTGGCCTCAGGCTCTCCTGAAAATGGGAATAGGGAAGTGAGAGGAACTCAGGACTGGCAGGGGGTGAGGGCGAGCCTGGCCAGGAGTGTCCTGACCAGACTGCCCAGATTTGGTTTGGAACATAGTGAGGGGTGGTGGTGGGGACTGGAGGGTTGCGGAGATGGACAGAGAAGTTGAAAAGAGCAACTCTCCCCTGTGACCACTAGGGGGCAGGCGCCATAGTCAGCCAAGCTCCTCTTCCCAAAGAGCACCTTCATCTTTTCCGCAAGGGGCCCACGAGGCTGGGCTCTGCTCTCCCCCGCAAGGTGGGGAGGGCAAAGAAAAGGAAACTCAAAGCTCTGGGAGGCTGGGCTGGCAAAGGCTAGCAGGCAGGATCCTCCCTAGATCAAAAGATCGGGACCCTAATTCTTGGGGTGTCTTTACTCCCAAGTTTGTGGCCCAGGAATCAACCATACCTACCTTCTCTCACCACTACCCTCTCCAATTGAGAAATCCATTTTCCAGCATTCAAGAGCCTCTGCTTGAATACTTCTGTGTTGGGAAGCTCACTACCACTTTTGACCATCTTTTTCAGAAAGTTTTTTCTGTTAAGCCAAAAATGTTGACCCTTGCAACTTTCATCAAAAGGCCAAGTCCTAGTGCTACCTCATGAGCTACATCAAATATCTATGTGTTGCCCAGCTGACAGCTTTGAAGAAAGCAATCTTGTCCTTTCTGCCCTACCCTAGTCTCCTTTTTTCTGGACTAAACATCCCTGGCCCTCTCAACCATTCCTTGAAGGACGTGTCCATCCACTAGACTCCCACCAGTCCTCTGTACAGGATGCCTGCCTCTGGGCCCCTCCAGTGTGAGAATGGCCTTTTCTATTGAGGGGCCTGGGACTGGCATGATGCACCTGAGACCAGGACTGTGTGGTGTACACTGGCCCATCACCTTGCTTGTTGACACATGCTTCTGTTAATCCAACCCAAGTCCAACTCTTTGACACGGTACTGTTCAGCTTTGTTGCCCCCACTCCATATTAATGGGGTTAATTTTTCAGCTACAAGAGTTGGTCTTTTTATCAACTCTTGTTGCATTTTGAGTTTCAGTCACCCAGCTCTTTTAGGTCTATGGGACTGTTATTTCTCTTAGTGTGACACGTAGGTCTTTGAAATCTCATTTCAAAGCGTAAGGTCACAGAGCCCTGAAGTACATAAATAGAGACCCTGCTTCATTAATCAGTATCCTGGGGGGCTTATAAATGGGCTCGTGGTGTCCATGTGAGCCCTTTTCTGGAATGAGGGTCCACAGCTTTCATGAGATTTTCAAAGGGCTCCTTCTCCAAAAGAAGATAAGAGCCATGGCTAAGGCATAACCTCCTTGTTTTCAGATGAGGAAAATGAGGCCCAAAGGGGAGACTTGACACACACACACACCCCTGCCCAACACACACAAGGCCATGTGGCTAGTTCTGGGGAGAACGTGAGCTTCCTGACTCTTATTACAGTGCTCTTAACCACTGCCTTCTTTCTTAGGACCTGGGTGGGCACTCTGCGGTGAGGTCTGCTCACCTCCTTGAAGCAGGGGCAGGGTGTTACTGGAGTGTGGGTTCTGGGGGTGGCATCTGGCCTGGGCCTCCCTTGCCTAGGATGTTTCCTCCCTGGCTCCATGCCTGAAGTTCCGCGGAGCTGGCACCGGGGGCAGTGGTGCCTGGGCTGGTGGCACATTTAGGAATTCTGGACTTGAGCCAGCCTCACCACCCCATCACGTTCCGTGCCAGCAAAGGCCAGATTCTGAAATGGTCTGTCTTTATTATGTCAACAGAAAACAAAAAAATTCCCCCAAGTGTAAATAGGAGAAATGTGCTGGTTAAGTTACTAATCATTATCTTATTATTAACAAAATAAAGCACTATCTATGTTTACAGTCATAAAAAAAAGAAACAGCCCGGAGAGAAGTTGGATTCCGGGAAGTAGAAAGGGAGAAGATGGGGGAACAGACACAGACTCCACATCTGTCCCTGTAGGATTTGGGGTTCCCTTCCCACCTTGCCCCAAGGCTGTTCTGGATCTTTGGAGTCAGGTGCCAACGGGATTTGATTTTCCTAGGGAAA